ACATGCATTTGTTCTGTTGTTTAAAGTGACAGCAAATTATAACAAGCACAAACTGTGCACAATAAGCATTGGCCCGGTTTCGGAATGTCTCGCTTCATATGCAAAATAGACGCGCATGCGCATCAATCGAGACATAGGGGCATGTTCCGAAAACTTTCTCCACAATGAATGGAACCGTTGCTCAACTACATTTTACAACCTAAAATCCGTACATGACCAACATTTCGGCAAGTCTATGTAATAGACCACGGAAATTAATGCCGTGGTCTATTATGCGCGAACAGATTTGCTGATTAATTAGGCAAGACGCCGCATCTTGACTTTCTAGATTTTGACCAATCAGCGGGTGCTTTCTATAGGCCTATCAGATCTTCGGTCATTCACCCGCTGCGCGTCATAGACATGGATTAAAAAAACCTGTCACAACGCATGATGCTCGGTATCATGTTACGCGAATGCGCTCCCGGCTGTTGTTGTATTACAAAACACTGCATTCGAATTGACCAATAACAGCGTTAGTCCTGATTTGGGAATGAAATGTCATCACGATTTAGTAAAGTCGACTCCGATTGGCTGGCGCGCGGCTTGCATAAATTTGCATGTCAGGAGATGTCAGACGTTTGACCGGAGATAGATACATGTTGGGCTCCGTGCAGAACGGGTGATATTCAGACTTTATTTTGGCAAGGTCTGACAGAAACATCTAAGACCAAGACACGACTGGAACTTGTTAATTAATGCACAGGAAGCAATTCAATAAGTTGTTGACTGATTCAGTTGGAGGAATGAGTGGCCAGGCACCATGAACTGTGAGCTTTTCAATTACTGTATGACCAATAACTAGCTTGAATTGTTCCTTGAATGTGAAGAGGTTGAGGAGTTGACAAATGAAATCAATCATGATCAGGATGCAGGAATGTAATAATGACTCCACACTGATTGAATGAGTTAAGGCAGAATGTACAATGGACCATGTAAAGTACTGGTACAGGCTAAAGTTGTCATGACAGGAATGTTTTCTATCCACATGTACATGTACATGTACATCTGAATAAGTATTATGAAGAGCACAGTCACTGACAAACATGTTATACTGGGAAGCTGAGTTGGTAGAAAGATCCAAATATCACAGACCTAAATCCTGATCCAGTCAATTTCAGTGTAGACTCTCTCTCTCTCTTTACATTATCCAAAAGTGCCGAGGACATGTACACCCAAGTTTCCTAAGTAGTGGTATATTAGACGACGTTTGCACATTTTACATAAAAGCAACTTATTCTCAGCTTCAACCAACACATCCCTCCAACATATTGCAAAGTGCATACACATACATTGTACATGTACAAACACATGTCTACCGGTACACACGTGTTTGTTAAATTTTTACTAATGATTAAACTTGGGGAGGATCAAACGGCAAATGGAATGGAAAGACCGAGTGGCTTGGGAGCTGCATTTGTACATGTACATCTACGTCTTGAAAAGCTCTAAATCAAAGGTCACTCCATGCCAACTCATGAATAAAACATCCAGGAACAAACTTCTATTCCTTTTCATTGCTTCTAATCCTTGCATCTTGCTCCTTTGAACCCATAGAAATTGTGCATAAAACAAATGCTTACAATTAGCTCCCTTGAAAACACAGCCTTCCTTTTCCCCCCTTTCTCAGCAATGTACAATTTTTTCTTGCATTTGGGCAACTCTAGCATTTTGCAAGAAAGTGTAATGTCCGTGACGGAGCCATTTAACCATGATATCTAATTAATGATTCAGAAAAATGATCCAAAACTCCTAGTCTGTAATCTCCTTGACCATTACTAGATGATGTATAAGATTTGAAAAATGCATTTTCAGGTTTATCCACTGAGCTCTTAAATGCTGTCACCGCCTCACCGGCATTACATATGCCCCCCCCCAAAAAAAAATAGTTGGTCTCTGGTCACACCAAAGTTCCGGAATTGATGCGGCGGTGCAGGGGTTTTTTTTGGGGGGGGGGTTGCTTTTTCTTTTTTTTTTCAAGCTTGGATTGTACAGACAAGGTGGGTACTATTTTTATTTTGTTGTTTCCTCATATACATTGGTGTCCACCATCATTTGCCTTGGTGCCCTCCATCACTTGCCTTGGTGCTCTTCCCCATTCCTTGCTGCTCCTTGGTACGAAAAGTTGAGGCTGTGCAGCGACAGAGGGCGCTGTTGTAGCTACCGCAGAAATTTTGAAGAAAAAAAAAAATTAACGTGCATGATCAAAATCGACGCACGCGCTGACCAGAGACCGATTACAGTTTTTTTGGCCTAACCTTAGAAATGCCATTTGCATATTTCTATTTTTCAAAATTGTTCTGAGCCTTCCCCGATTAGTGGTACAAAGAATGTACAGCTAAGACTGTTTTTTTATGAACCGTGTGCTACCATAATTCCCTTGAACTGAGTTCTAAACTGAGTACTGGCACAAAGTCTGCAAAAAAATAATTCTCCATAAACTCTGTATCATCAGTATAACTCAGCACATAGAATTGTCTTGTTTTGATTGATAGCTGTTATTAAAACAATTTTAATCTGCTTTCCATTCCTTTCAGGTAATATATCTCTGGCTATTCCCATCCTAGCAATACATCATAGAAATATGTGTACATTTACAAATAAACACCTTGGAAATATGATAAACTGGGCACATTGAATATGAGTCAAGAGAGTGACTTGAAGAAATGGCACTGTTTATTTGCTTTAACATCTGTGGCCATAACAGGCAGCTCAATGGCATGTATTTGTTAGTGTAGTACCGACACTTTATTATTTGACAGGTTCGTCATCATTTGACAGGGTTTTCTCTATCACTTTGAATTTGGAGCACAATTACATGTACACATGTACACTGTATGTCAAAATCATTCCTACAACTCATGGTATCGGTATATTATGGAGCTACCGGTACCGGTAGCTCTAATGACTGGTATGAAAGGATAACTTTCACAGATAGACACTGTACTTTTTTTTTTTAAATAAACATAACTTCTTCAAAGTGTGTTGGGTGATGTGCGCATACAGCCAAAGAAGGACACAGCAAGTGTGCACACTGGTACATCGCCTTGGTTTGTTATGGGGCAGTAAGCTCAATAGGGACAATAGACTCCACAAGTCAGGATATTCACTGAGTTCCCATGCTTCTACAGAGAGACAGTATAATGTTCAACTTGTACATAAACTGCACAAAGTATACCTGTACAAAGTGTACATGCACTGTACATGTTTGCTTACATGTACATGCCCATTTACATACATGAACTCATTGTATTCTGTCACAATGTTCTCATACCAGTAGGTAGTCTACTGGAATTCGCCGAACAAAATTAGAAACAGTGATGCCACCTCACGTCAATGCTGCAAACGTTCTTTTTGGTAATCCTATTGGTCGAAGGAGCCTGGAGTGCATGCGTAATACCTGAGCGCAACTCGCACAAGCGTGGTGCCATCGCAGCAAATGGCTGCCGCCGAATTAGTCTATAAATTTAACTGGATGAAAGAGTGTAATTAAGCCAAAAGGTTTTCAGTTCAATTGATTTCCAGATTAGAAGAACAGAATGAACCCCTTCTCACTGCCTCAAGCATACGTGCCAGTCTTTCTCTCTTCTACTCTACCCTTGCTTCTTGCTTCATTCATTTTCTGGTATTCGTGCAAGTGGTAATGGAAGGAATGTCTCATACATGTATGTAGAAGAATAAGTTTGTGCCTATGGGATTCCTGTCTCAAATTAAATCAGCAAGAATATCAGACGCCAGAAAAAGCTCCGTCTAGTGGCCTAAGGTTCAGAACTCTAACATACATGTACATGTAAGCAGTGCAGGGCTTACGTGTACACGTACATTGTAAGACAGGGGCCTGGCTGTACATGTATGAGTAAACTGACTCTGTTCAGTGTTCACCTTATTTCTTTTCAATCAAGCTGAGTCCTTGGCACCTTGCTACACATTCTGCTTAATCCCCAAACACTACAATTTGTACTTTCTTTACCAATCTGGTATTTGGGTCAATTCATAATTTCAAACTCAGTGATGCATGAACAGAGGAATGAATCCAATATATCAATGGAAAGCTTACATGTACATGTACCGGTAGTACTTGCCCCTATAGTTTATGATAATGATCATTATAAAAGTACATCTGTTGGTTATATTATCCCATGGTTTGTGGGTTACGTGTTTATTGGGACACGCTGTATAACTCACAAACTAGCCAAAATTATGTTCTTGAAATTTAAGTACATGATGCGCAGTACATATCTGCAAGTGCACTGTCATGACTGTTGGAACTTTGCACAAAGACAGACCACTCTGCATTATGTATGTACTTAAAAAAGAGTATTAACCGTGGGAATATCAACACAAATACATGTAGAGCAGTTTCCAGTGTCAAGCATACGTACTTACTTTATTGTGTGTAGGAAACAAATGATGATTACTCAAAACATGTATATGAATTATCATGAGCAAACTGATCAACACAATAAACGAGACTATAAAAATTCAAGACATAAATGAAAAATAAATGAATGATCTTGAAAGCAATCAATTAAAAGAAAGAGCAATAACATACATGTATATGTCATGAGGCCTTTAAAAGGTACATATAGATCACACAAATCATAAGTAGAAAGTTACACATTTCATACACAAATACAATGTAGCAGGGAAAAATATGTACAGATGAGACTGCAAAGACAAAGATGGTATCAAAAAATCAAAAGAAATTTCAAAATAAAGGGGAAAAAACTCATTTTCGTGCATACAAATCAACATTGCTTATACACCAACTACACATATAAGAACCAAAAATTAAGAAAACTCAAACTTGCCCTTCAACTACTTGAAATGATTTGATACAAACGTGTCATGCCTGACACACACCAATAATCACAGGTTACAAGTGAAACTGCAGCTAGGCAATGAAGCATATCAGTGATGGATAACACTTGAGCAAATACCAATAGTCCAAGATACATTACCGCATCTTCATCAACCGGCACCATGCTGAGGGTCATATCTCGAGGAATGGTCCCTCCGTCAGTGCTCTCAGGACCACCGCCGCATGACCTGCTCTGGGAAGGTGTGTTCTTCACCCGTGGTGTTCTCTCAAAGATTGGCGATGGGTCACGCTTGTGATCCTTCCCTGCTTCCAGGTTACCACTGCCCTGCTCCACGATGTTGAAGACGGCATCTGGAGGGGTGTGCCTAGGAGAGTCGCTCATGTTGCTCGTTCTGGAGTCACTCCGCTGGGCGCTTCCAACCTTCCGTTCCGAGTCAAACTGGAGTGAGTTACCTCCCCCTTCCACTGCCTCAAACATGGAGCCCTTGATGCGGCTACGCCCATGGCGAGGTGAGGAGTAGGCAGAGCTATCCGTCTCAGTGGAGCTAGAATCTTGACGACGCTGACGTCCCTCACCACGCTCAGAAGGGAACTGGAAGCTATCCTGGTTGGCCTCAATGGTAGTAAACATGGAACCCATTGGCTTGCGACCATGTTGCGGTGAATCTAACATCTTATCCTCCTTTTTCATGGACTGAGAATGGGACTTTTCCTCGGAGAACTGCAGTGAGTTTCCACCACCAGCAACAGCCTCAAACATTGAGCCTAGCTTGCGGGGGACATGACGAGGCGACTCACCCAACGTTTGGAAGACTGCTCCAGCATGGTCAGATGTCTGTCTCTCAGCCATTGCAACCGTCTGAATACTGTCCTTCAGGCCAACTCAAACTTTCTGTCTCTCAGTAATGTCTACAGGCCCTTTTTAAACACACTACCGTAGCTGTGGCTTGTTGGGATTCACTCAAGAACCCAGCACAAGTGGCAGTCACTCTAGATTGTCCCAGGACCCAGCAAGCTATTGTTGAGTTGCATTAGTTCAGAAGATTAGGCGGCAATTAGATTGGGAAGAAAATTCAGAAGGGGGAGAAATATGTTACACTTGAAAGCTGTTGAAACTTGTTCTGACTGAGCCTTAGTGAGTACGGAATATTTCTTTCAAAATCTTGAACAGAAGCTGTTCTTAAAGGTCAGGGTCATGCAGTGGCAACTTGGCCAAACAAGACTACAAGCCTGCAACTGCTAACTCACAGAAAGCTTAATGCCTCATGTTGGCAATTTTTCTCACTACAATGGACAGATTTTGTAAAGAAAGTGTTCATACATGTAGGAAGGCGGTTTAAACTGTTGTGGTGTGCAGTGGAGTGCATTTGTCTCATTGTTCATGCATGAGTTTGCAGTCAGCCTGTTCCTCAGCATTGTAACATGCACCACATGTACATGTACAGACACCCAACAAACACACACGTTGTACATTCTGAAAACTCAGGCCAAAAAAAATAATGTTTCTGCTTCCGATTACATGGCATTCCAAAATAGGGTAGGTAAGTAGAAATTTTTCTTTTTTGGGGGCCAATTTTTTTTGTGTACGATCATATGGAGGCGTCTGTGTGTAGTCAAGGTAAAAGGTAGTAATTGATGGTTTTGGGTGGTTTTTTTTCTTCTCATTTTTCCCATAACAAAATTAGGGTGGGGGCTGTCAGAATAGGGTAGGTAGGGAAACCGGAAGCAGAAGTTTTTTGGTTTTTTGCCTCAGCGGTATGAACATGTAAATAATGTACACTGAATGCCGACAAATGATAAAGCACTTAAAAATTAATCAAGGGACATCAAAAGGCCAAAAAGAAACCTGATTTAAAGAGGACAGGAAACTTGCAAGTGCATACAACTGAGAACACTTCTTCAACGGTATCATTCATTATTATTTATATCAGGCTTCCAAGCAGTAACAATAAATCAGCATATTGTACACTTTCGGAAAAAGTACCCAGATGACTATCCAGGCAGTTTATGGTATCGACGTGCATTTTGCTGATTGCCGCTTAATAATCCAGAGCATACAAACTCACAGTTGTCAACAAGTCAATAGAGCATAGTGCAGTATTGTTGCCTGTGCACACAGTATGAGTATACGCACTGTTGTCAACAGCCAAAAATGCCAGCTTGAAAGTGGCGCGAGATTCGCTTCAGTAAGCGAAGAACAATTCAACAAAATTTGAACAATAAAGACGCTGAAAATACCTTGAAAGCACGTTGGAAACGTGTGAAATGCGCTTTAAAAGCACGAGTTATTTTATTATTATTATTGAAGATGACAGTCAATATTCTGCGAGCGCATCTGGCTGAGCGTAAATGCTTAGGCTAGCAGGTTTGTTGAAGTTGTAAGTTGATGTTAATGTGAAAGTGAGGAAAGCAGATGACGATTATTCATGTCATTACAAGACAGCATCATGACATTTATTTGTTGCGGATCAAGTCAGCCTGGTGTAAATAGTAGTAATATTGGATGGCTTTATTTCGGGATACCAGAATATATTGCACTTGCTATAACAATACCGCACTCATCTTTGACTTGTGCAATAGTGTTATACATGTACCGGTAGCTCGTGCAATATATTCTTGTATCCCCTTCAAAGCCATCCAATACTATATAATTATTTTTGTTTCGAGTTGTTGTGATTTTTCAACAAATTTTCAATGAATTACTGTAAGTTCACTCCATGCTACAGTAAAAGCACAATGTGAAGAGATGTGTCTGGGGGGGGGGGGGGTACACAAAGGTAAACATACATTATAATACAGATGTAGACTACAGGTTCTGACAGACACAGCAAATGCTTAAGCCACAATTTCAAGACCAACATGCTCCTAAAAGTCTCTTTTCCAATACTCCAGGTAAAGTTCAAAGAGGTGAAAATCTTAAAACTGTTAAATATTAGATACTTACCACCTTATTATCCAGGAAGAATTTATCCAAGAAGAATATATCCAGGAGAATGAACAGGAAAAAAGGAAAGGAGTGAGTTTACATTTGACCACATGGTGCAAGTATTTGTGAAACTCTACTATACAAACTGTAGCCATGCACCAACATTTACATTTTGTTGTACCACCCTGTGAAACTAGAGCTCCCAACCTACATGTATGTACTCCTTGGCAAATTTTTATTTGTTGGGAAGCACCACCCTCACTGTTGAGTTTACCTGTGTAGCATATTTGCTTCACATAATTAGTCTTGGAGGAAGAACATACCAACAGGGGTGTGAACAATCATACTGAAGATGGAGAATTCAGGACTGTTAGGGTTAAGGAGTAAGGTGTGCATCCAGCATTTCATTACAACTGTTAATGCCAACCTCAGAAGATGAGTACCACTCTGCCAGAAATGCATTAACCTATTTTAAAACACCTGTACATGTACATTGTATGTACATTGTATGTACACATGTACATGTGCCTGTAACGCACATCAGAATGGATGGTGATGAGTTTTTCTCACAATTAGGGCCTGAACTGAAGTATACATGTAGGACTATTTTGTTTTCTATTCTGATTCATAGACCCTTTTACCATAAAGGTTTCAATAAATCAGTCTAAATATTTTGCGCACAATAGTTTCACAAATCACCTGGCCAGCTGTCATATTTTTAGCAGCAGAGACCAGCAAGCATGGGTTTGTCCCCCTAAAAAATGAATAAAGGTACATAAAGTAGTCCAACCTCCATGTGATCATTACTGACTGTCAAGATAGTCAAGACTACCATGTCTTTGCAATGCATGTCAGGCACCTGTTTATTACTGGTATCGTGGTGCCATTCGTGCCAACAATGGAAGTTTCAAGTACCTTTGTCTTGACTATTTTCAGCAAGTACATACATGTATGGTACATTGTGTCTGTGTTCTTCTTTTACTATTTTTTTTTTGGGGGGGGGGGAATCCAGGGATAAATGTGCGTGATGTTGTACCTTCAGAAAGGAGACCTTCACTTTTAAAAGTGGTTTTTGATTAATCAAATTGAATTTTTTTTTTGCAAATAATTGATACAGCGATTAATTTATTGATTAACCAAATAATGGTTGCGGCCCTACTCACAATGAACTACTCCTGTTTGTCAACTCCCCCTCCCCTCCCCTGAACACAAATCAGTTATAAACATCCCCCACCCCAACCAACACCACCCAAAAACATCAGTCTTGAAAAAGAGGAATGAATATTGAATATTAAATGGAAATTAAATATATACATGTGTATAGCTTTAACTATAAAAACACACATGTACTGGGTAAAAGTAATCTGAACGATATTTCAAAGGAACACTTTTGAGAGAAGGCGCCCATTTCAGCTCATACACGCACAAATTAACAGGTGGGAAGGGGTGAGGAACAGAGCTCATCCTCCATGCTGCCATGGCATAATATCATGCAACTAAACATGCAAGGGTCTTTACACTAAATGTATCAACACAATGATGACATTAGTATAATGTATTGGATTCATTTTAGTTATTTACAGCTCATTGACATCACAGTTTTATGTGCACTAAACACAGGCAGGCTACAGGTAACAGCTGACACTGAGACACACTGTACATGTAAATACTCACTGCAACCAGACAAAATATACAAAGTGCAAGCATCAAGACCATCCAGTTGATACAATCAACTTTAATTAAGGCAGCAAAACTCAAAACCAACTCACCAATGTGGTCTGGTAGACACGTAGACTCCTACTCAAGCAATATGGATTCAGAGTTCAATGCAATGGATACCACACACATGGTCTGGACAGCGCTAGAGCACATGGGGGGTATTCAGCCAGTTGTGCACATCTTCTATTCAGCACAGTAATGATATTATAACACACGCCTGGTGGAGCACAGGGCTGGACTGTCAATTAGCATAATGTATTTGTATATGAAGCAGAGTCCAGATGCCTGGGCTATGGCTAGCAGGCTAGCAGTAAGCCACATGTCTATTGCCTCCATAGGCTCCAGTTATTGCAAGCCCTAGCCCTTTGATTAGGGGACTGAGTCAGTGTTGAGGTCTAGTGGGCAGCGTTATTATGATTAGTCATGTACTCATGGTCCTGATCAGCATAATGAGGCTGCCACAGTGTGAGGAGGCCCATATGGCCACAGGGTTCATCAGTACATGCTTGGCTGATCAGCACAGACTCACCAGATGCACTTGTTAAGATTTGACACCACACAGTTGTGTTGCTTGTATTTAAATTTTCCACAGTGACTGCACTGATGCACTCAATAGTAACATGAAAAAAATATTATGGTACAAGAAAAGTATGCACAATGATACAATTGGGGAATTACCGTACAAATAAACAGACTGACAGATAGACCAATAGACAGACAGCAGGCAAAGCATACAATTGTCTCAGGCATCAGTTCTCATGACAAAAGAAATCAGTCATTTTTTTAGTGCAAATGATTTTAAAAATAAAATTCAATTTACAATGTATAGTGGAAAAAAAATATAATTGAATGCAAAAAAAAAATCTATACCTGAAAATACTACGTGTACATGTGTATACATGTAGTACACGTGTTTATGATGTTCGTGAATTTTACATTTCTTTCCTTATTTTAAGGGTAAGGCATTATAACAGAGTAGCATAACAAAGGCAATTAGACAGCTGTCACTCACCAGATAGGATGACTCGTATGCAAACACAGAGCTGCATTATGCAAAGTACTGAATATTCATTTGCATTTATAACCCCAATCAGATCATGGAGCTACATGTATAAACAAGATGTAAAAACTGAACTCGTACACATGAATGAATTATGACAAGAAACAATCTCTTTTCTACCACCTTCTGTGACAATTTTTGTCACAAATACAAATTTTATCATCTCATCAAAGAAGATATTTAATCATGATTGGTGTAAAATTCCAAAAGTTTTAACACAGCATAACAATGTATTTTTAAGTTATGTACATATGTACAGTACATGTTGCGCTCTGCTGCACATTACCGTACATAACCAAGTGCAGTCAAGGGAGGAGATGATTAGAGGACTAGGGAACAGCTTGTAAATCATTTGAGAATGGTGTTCTCATTAACAGTCTGAGTATGCACATGTAAAGTCCTGTTATTAATCAAAATGAATTGGTGCAAGACATTAATTAACACAACCTTTGTACATGTGGGTATTCATCAGTCTAATAGTAATGCATTAATTATCACTCAAATTCCTTGATTTATTATAAGCAGTTGTTCTGCCACCAAAGGTTCAAGAATTTGCTTCATGTGTGCAGTAGACAGTACACGTTATGATTCACGTACATGGATGCTGACATGAACAAAAGATGTATCATGTATGCAATCTAAATATTAACAACTCCTTTAATTAACTGAGTACCTGTACAGCCACTGATTTTGTGCTTACCAGATACAAAATGGAATCAACAGAATTCAATTTACTGCATTCAGCTTTTTGGAAACCCTGTATAGTGTGTAAAAAAAGAAATCTTCCAAAATTGAAAGTTACCGGTAGCTCATTTCTGCAACCATTTTCAATTGGGCACTTTTGCTCATTTAAACTCTGTGGCAAAATGTTTGACGCATAACTTTGTTTGTTCAGTAGTTTTCAGTATTGATGAAGCGTATGATGAATGGGCAATGTTAAGCGGGAAACTGATTTTCATGCGGTTTCACACAGTTTCACGCAGTATGAATCATCCCTAGTATATTATTATTATATGCCAGTCACCTGACTAAACTAATTGGTTAAGGTATTGGCCATTAGCGTGTCACTCCATTCTGCATTGCTGTGTCTCGCTCTTTGTCTATCCATCCATGCAGCAAGGGCCCCATCAACACCTCTAAGAAAACCCTGTAATTAATAATGGCCCCTGAACCAGCACAAGATCGAAGACCGCCTGTATGGCGCACAAGGCAGTTCAGCCAATCAATGGCCAGGGAATATATGTCATTTCTCAAGCGCTTGCCTGGGCACGCTCAGAAGAAACTGGCGGCAGATTTCATGCATAATTAATTATTGATTCACTGTCTGGATTTGGATCCTTCTTTTTAAAGTCTAAGCACTTTGTGTACTGTACGTGATTTTTTCTTTTTTATTACATAAACATGTATCGTGAAACAAAAAGACATGCATGTGTTCATGTAAATGGAGCAGGCCTTGCTACGTATTTGCAGCCAATGATGTACGTAAATGTAGTAATAGTGAAACAATGCTTTCTTAGTTGTTCTATAATCCAAGTAAGCATCCCAAATCCTTCCCAATCTATCAATAGGATTCAACCACTGGGAACTGGTGTTCCTTGGAAGCTTGGCACAAATGGCAGAGAACTAGTACCGGTACATACACCGGCATGTATCATTGATACAATATGGTGCATCAAGAAGAATCCAGAATCAAAGGGACTTCCATGAAGAAGACTTGCAAAGTGCCGGTATTTGCCACAGATGGGCGCTCATAGCGCTTGCCATAATGCCACATGCACGTGTATGTAGCCTGAGGTTACTGGACCAAAGCATTCTTTTCATTCACAAAAGAAAGTTAGAGCTACCCAAATGGTCAAAAGCTTGGTCAAAAGCTTCTACCCAAATGAGTTGCAGCACTGACATCATAGTGACTAGCTTAAGAATCTCCAAGGAATGGCTCCACTTACATGTAAATGAACATGGACAATGCTTATTGGATCAAATAAGTTCGTGGATATGTTTTACTTCCAGCCAGATTTTTATTGTTAGGGCCAAGAAAACGGAAACAAATGTACATGTACATGCAGTTCTTAAAATTTACCATCAGCTCATGTGTACACCTCACAAAAAAGTAGGCCTACCACATGTTTACCTGTTCATGACACAGATCTTAAAAATCCAATTATAATCAATTTTATTCACATGACTTGATGTTAAATGTTGAATTACACACGTGTATGGACATTTTATCACTTTCCAAACATTAAAAGGGGGAAAATTATAAAAAAAACATAAATACGAGCTACGTGTTTGTATGTATCACCATTACTGCACTAAGATCTCAAGTTTGTTACGCTTCAACAGTATATCTCCATAGCCCAATAACTGCACACCCCTTTTCAATGTCGTTCAAACCTTTTCAACTTCACTTCGAATTTTGCACACAATCACTGAACTCTGCAGTGCAGATCATTCTGCCTAGGGGACCTTTAGTGTCAATACTGCAGACATTCCACCGTTTGCCACCAGCAACAAAAGGCAATCCTGGGGCCTTTATTGCTCCAGTCCTCATATCTAATCCCATTTCTAAAGCCTGGTTGATCATGTGGGGTAGCATTTATTTTTCTGCTGCAGTCAGGCAGTGGAAATTTAAGAGGCAAACTCTGTAGAGTTCATGATCGATAAAAAAAAAACAGAAATAAGCATCTGGAGGTACATGTAGGTCTAAATGTTTAACACCATATAAACAAAATTAACCGGTTTCTCCTCCCATGCTGTGGGTTTTTTTTCAGCCGCTTCCTTTTATTTGTTATTCATACATTTGCAATATATTTTGCACATGTATGTATTGTCAATATATTGTCTTTTTATTTGTTTTCAACACAATTTTGTATATCTGCAAAATAGTTGAGAAAACTGAAAAATGCATCCACCATCTTGGGGGGAAAATGCATGCCTCCTTCATATTTTTAAAAAGGCCCGACAAGAAACTACTTATTTCTTTTCTGAAAGAAAAACATTTGTAAAACCTTTTCTTTTCATTTGGTTTTTTAAAATACCAAGCAGGGAAAAGGAGTAATTTTCATCAGATTTTAACAATAACACAATAGCCAAGATATTTTTCATTTGTTTTATATTTCAGTGTATACGTGACGTACTATTTATAGTGCCAGCTTCACAACATGCACAGGGTTACTATCAAAATGGATATATATATTTTAAAAAATTATTCTACACTACAATGTAGAAAAGGGTTGTACCATCCAGTGAGGGCTTCATCCTTGCCTTACAAATTGTCTTAATTAAGTGAGACGACTCACATTATTCTTTAAAAAAGGGGCATCATTACAAATTTATCATTACTTTATGAAATGAATTATCAAAAGACTCAATCCACTGACATGGAGGAAACTTTGTCTTCTATTGTGTGACTGTGGGCATGGTGTGAAAGGGTTGAAATATTCATCTCAGTCCGTATCAAGTCATGTGCACATGAGATTTAGAGTCAAGTATTTTAACTGTGCAAGGACATGATGGACTATGAGTATGATTTACACACATACACACAAATTATAAAACCCCCACCCTTCACCGAAGTGCAAAAAGTAGACATGGTCATGATGGTACTTTTTCCTTTATATAGGCTATTATTTCATGGTCAGATATTGCAAAAATGTTGAAAAGACATTAATCTGGGACTGAGAAACATTTCCAATTTTGTTATGTTAGAAAATACTTTGAAAATGCACTCGACTCTCCATAGATTTTGTAGTTTTTTTGTACACAACCAAAGTGGCATACTACTAATCCCCATTCACAGAAAAAAATGCCCAGCCAGGGGCCACTCGGTGAGATTACCAGGTCGATTGAGGTCACTACGCATTGGTATGTAAAGTCTCAAGTTGCATTTTGGGCCGGTACATGTATTGTACGTACGTAGGTACATGTACATGTACAATACATGTATACGTATACGTACAACCAATCAGTTTGTGCATGGTTTGTGCAATGAAATGTCCGACCAAAAGAGAACTCCTCCAACTTTGCCAGCTGAATCCGACAAAGTGAACGCGTATTTACAACAGTGAATAGCACAACTAAAATCCACAATTACATATTCAGGTCACTTTAGAGGGAAAGTGCATGACATGCCGCAACTGAGTGGAAATATTAACACGAAATGAGAGGGTCGCTCACCATTTTCTTTCTTCGTTTTTGCCGCCTGTGCAGAGGAAAAGTTATTTGAGAAGTATAACTTCACTGTCAAAGTTGAGGGCGCACTCTCGAAACCCCGTTATTGTAAAATCGTAAATCGGCAACCAGACTCTATCAAACACAATTTGTAGTAAAACAATAGCAAAGGGCCCGACTAGACTTTGCAGTGCATGCGCCCATGCAGTGAAATCGAAGAAAGCTGTTGTGTTGGAAAAGTGGACGTTACGCTTAATAATTAAACGGGAGAGAGAAAGCCTCAAATGACATTTTATTTGTCAGTATAATTACCGTAAATGAAAAGGGTATGTAGGTTTCAATATATTAGTTTAATTTTTCAATGATTTGTTACGAGTAGCACTGAGAAGGTTTATTGAGGGCAATCAACCATGACCTCGTAGCCGGCTAATACTCCTAGCACTATGGAGCGGAGCCTCATAGATCAAGAAGCCCGCAAAATCGCCTGCAGCACAAAACACTAATAAAGTACAAAAACGTCCATCAAAATGCAGCCATTTCACACAGAACCGCTGCACAGTTTGCCCCTATATTCCGTACTTTACCTCTTGACATACTCACGTATCTTGTGCGGAACTAACATGGGTGGATTCTGTCGGTTTTTAGGCCAAAATGATGAAAAATATGCCCTTTCCGCACTGAGCCAACCTGACACTTGAAACGTGCACGCATATGATCGAGCGATGATTTTCGGTTCGCTCGGAGCGCGCCGCGGGGGGTACGGTACATGCACTTGTACGCATGCACATACTATCATTTCGCTTGTACCGTACCCCCCGCGGCGCGCTCCGAGTGAACCGAAAATCATCGCTCGATCATGTGCGTGCACGTTTCAAGTGTCAGGTTGGCTCAGTGCGGAAAGGGCATATTTTTCATCATTTTGGCCTAAAAACCGACAGAATCCACCCATGTTAGTTCCGCACAAGATACGTGAGTATGTCAAGAGATAAAGTACGGAGTATAGGGGCAAACTGTGCAGCGGTTCTGTGTGAAATGGCTGCATTTTGATGGACGTTTTTGTACTTTATTAGTGTTTTGTGCTGCAGGCAATTTTGCGGGCTTCTTGATCTATGAGGCTCCGCTCACGCGGAGCCTCATAGTGCTAGGAGTAGTAGCCGGCTACGACTTCGACTTACGAGGTGGATAGATTCGGTCCTACTAAATTGAATAGGCGCGTCAACAAGCGTCAACACGTTTTAGTAGTCGTTAAGTGCGCGTCAACAAATTTTGTATAGGCCTTTGAACAATAAAAACAGCTTTATATGGTAGAAAAAGCAATAATGAACATCTTCTGCATATCAATTAAAGTTAAAATTATTTTAAAACTTGGTTTTTTGAACGCGAAATGTACGACGAATTTGTCGATAAAAGTTGGCCATCTTGTTTATGTGTAGCTAGCTGTACTACGCATGCGTGAAGTGTAAAGAGCCATACTACGCATGCGCGAAGTCTACAGCGCCATCCAAACAAGATGGCGGCCTACTTTTTATCGACAAATTCGTCGTACATTTCGCGGTTCAAAAAACCAAGTTTTAAAATAATTTAAACTTTAATTGATATGCAGAAGATGTTCATTATTGCTTTTTCTACCATATAAAGCTGTTTTAATTGTTCAAAGGCCTATACAAAATTTGTTGACGCGCACTTAACGACTACTAAAACTTGTTGACGCTTGTTGACGCTTGTTGACGCGCTTTAGTAGGACCCTGACCGAGTGGCGGGGTATTCTGCAATTGTACCAAGAATTCCGTACTACTAGTAGTAGCTTGAGTAACTCCAGCTGACATTCGCCATATTCATTCACATGTAACGCTAACCTGTTCGTTAGAATGTGGTAGCAAGAGACCCTTAAAAAATGGCCTCTCAAAAATTGTTCATTTTCACCTCTAAGTCTAATACTAAAATAGTAAATAGTAATATCCCACCCCAGAGTTCACTTACACACCTCAGTCATACATTCAGTAGTCATTTACGAAGCCTAGATCGACTTGAAACAGACCACACAAAAAAATGTGAAAAATCTTGACGATTTCGGTGGGTTGTCCGTAAAAAAATGCCAGTTCCAACGGCTGTCGTCCATTTTGTTTTGCTAATTATGTAAATGTATGCATCACGTGATGACATTGAAAAAAATCTGCGCACGCGATGTATGTGGGTACCACACCGCTTTCAGGCGCCGCAAGTGAGTTCAATTTTCGTCTGGTGCGTTGTAGCGGAGAGCATTCTCGTTGTCTTGCTTTCCGCGACAACGTACCAGACGAAAATTGAATTCACTTGCGGCGCCTGAAAGCGGTGTGGTACCCACATACATCGCGCGCGCAGATTTTTTTCGATGTCATCACGTGATGCATACATTTACATAATTAGTAAAACAAAATGGACAACAGCCGTTGGAACTGGCGTTTTTTTATGGACAAGCCACCGAAATCGTCAAGATTTTTCACATTTATTTTTTTGTGGTCTGTTTCAAGTCGATCACTAGGCTTCGTAAATGACTGCTGAATGTATGAGGTATGTAAATGAACTCTGGGGTGGGATATTAGAGGTGAAAATGAACAATTTATGAGAGGCCATTTTTTAGGGTCTCGTGCTACCACATTCTAACGAACAGGTTATGCCTCCAGCGTTACATGTGAATGAATATGGAGCATGTCAGCTGGAGTTACTCAAGCTATACTAGTAGTACTTTAGTCATGTTAGTATTTCTCCATGGTAGTATAGTCCGAGTAACTTGGACCCAACTTAATATCGCCATGGTCATGGTCTGGCGATAGTGGGGTCCAAGCTAATCATTATATGCCGAGCTACACAATTCTGTCATTGACCCAAAAACCGAACATTGCCCAACAAAAACATTAGATTTCACCCTCAAAACGGCCTCCAAATTACTAGATACGCTACCTGAGGGACAAGTAGACATCGATAATTAAGATGGTTGTACTGAAGTTTACTTACAATCCGGATGAAAAGTGAAATTTCATGTTCAATTCCGAGAGCTCCCCTCGCGATCGTGAACACGTTAAATTTCCGATTCGTGTTTGAATTGCGATGTGGTCTTCATGCCCAGCATTCATTCGATGGTCCCCGTATCCCGAGTGCGATTCCGTTACCGAGCGCGCGTGATGCATCGATTATGATAATGATAGACTGGATCACGTTTGTAAACATAAATGCATTTCGAATGATAATAGGGAGTCGGGAACTAGCTTGAACTGGTTTCCGTCCATAAAATCTGCCCTAGTTCCCAACTCCCTGTTATCGCTCGAAATGCACTTGTGTTTACAAACGTGATCCAGTCTACTCATTATCAAAATCGATGCATCGCGCACGCTCGGTAACGGAATCGCGCTCGAAATACGGGGACCATCGAATGTACGCTGGGCATGAAGACCACATCGCAATTCAAACACGCAACGGTAATTTAACGTGTTCACGATCATGAGGGGAGCTCTCGGAATTGAACGGGAAATTTCACTTTTCATCCGGATCGTAAGTAAAGTTCAGTACAACCATCTTAATTATCGATGTCTACTTGTACCTCAGGTGGCGTATCTAGTGATTTGGAGGCCGTTTTGAGGGTGAAATCTAATGGTTTTTTTGGGGCAATGTTGGGTTTTTGGGTCAATGACAGAATTGTGTTGCTTGGCATATAATGATTAGCTTGGACCCCACTATCGCCAGACCATGTCCGAATTTTAAAAAGGCGATAAGTTGGGTCCAAGTTACTCGGACTGGTAGTAGTATAGTATGGTATGAGACTGAGTTTTCCCTGGCCGGCCCTGCCATGCCTGCAGGCTGCATGCAATGACCTTTCACCTCATCAGCTTTTTCCCAAAGACAATTGTAGAATGGAACAAACTCCCTGATGAACTGATCCATCAAACATCATCATCCCAATTGAATACAGCCCTAGGAAACCGTCTTGCATTAATTTCACGCTTGCACGGCACCGGCTGCTTGTGGAATCAGAAAGCTTCTCTCCGTCAGCCTTCTGGCATGCTCTTTTTTCGGGGGTCAGCACTCTGAACAGCACTCTATGGCTTTTGGAAATGCCCTTTGATAGACGAAATACCTTTGCCTGAAATTCCACTTTCTGAAACGCAAATCCACCAAAAAGTTGAGCTGGTTGATCCATAACTCTGAAATAGTTTCCCACAATTGACATTTGGATCATGGGACAATTTTGGGGGGTGGAAAATCTGAGTTTTTACTCACCAGCCTGGCGTCTCCGATCTGACGAATGCACGGTTATGTTCAAGTGTGTGTTTACGTACGTTGCAGGTGCGCTGATCTTCGCGTGACCTCGGCAGGTCCACTCTACATTCGGCTCGACCATTTGGGATGGAGGGGGATTGTATGCTTTGCATCGCGCAACAGAGCATATGTACATCATTTTGGCGCGCAGAATACGCTGCGCTGTGTCGTTACAAGTTGTCAGTTTTGTTGGACTGTTTACTGATGGATCTTTTCATCCCTTTTTTGTCAAATTTAAAAACAGTTCACCAAAAATAATGAACATATCAAAACGATTTTAAGTACATGGTTAGATCATTATAAGGGAAACAAACCCTGAAAGTTGCATGAATATACGGTTTTCAAAATGGAAGAAATAAGAAGTTGGTCTGCGTATGAGTTGGCCCGTGTACAAGTTGGACCGCGTACGAGCTGGTCCACGTACAAGTTGTCCTGCATATGAGTTGGTCATGTACGAGTTGACCTGTATTCCACTGACATATGTCCTAAAATGTCAAATATAGCAGGGAAAATATTGAAGCATTTACTGAGATAACACTTAGAATTGTTCAGACCAGTCTCATAGGGTTTGTGCACGGGGTGTCTTTCCCAAAATTCTTTCGCAATTATATTTGGATATCAATTTTGCTGCGCTTTGCCACAGAGCGTGCAAACCAACCTACTGAGGAGAGTGTCATTTTTTGGCATGAAACTGCATGAAACTGCACTTACAGTTGTATTCTATGATGTCTCAGCTTTTGCCCTCCGGGTTGATTAGGTTATCTTATTAGACAATAACTACTGCTATTCGCTTTCCAAGGGATGTTACAATAAACAGCCACTCGCGCAAAAACAAAAGGTTTTGGTAAAAAATACGCACAAAATTGTTGAACAAGGGACTTTATATTCTTGCAGGTAATCATGGTAACTCATATGGCTGTGTTTTTTTCCTAATGCCAAATTTTCAGTGGTGGGGGGGCGAAACCCCCCCCCCCCCCCCTTTAACTACGCCGCTGCACACTAGTGGGGCAAAGTTGGACCCAGTTATGCCCCAATCAATTGTTTCTCCCACCCTTAAAATGTAATACAAATCGCCTTTTTAACATTTCGACATGGTCTGGCGATAATTCAGAGCCATTTTGGTTAGGTGTTGTACAATGGGATCCTAACTAAAGTTTGATTACTTTCTTAGGTCGTACTGACCAGAAGTGAGCAACATGAGCAAGCACCTACGCTTCATTGCACGTACAGTGTTTGTGAAGAACAGCGATGTTGATGGTGCATATAGAACCCTCAACAAGTAAGCAATTTACTGGTAATTTTCAGTTTGCAAACATATCCACCTCAACAGCAAATGCATTAATCTGATTGCACCACAGCATTCTTGTTGGGAGAAACAAAGAAGGCACTGGTTCTGTAGCATTACAGTGATAGAGGGTGTTTTTTTTCTTTGATGTTTTTTAGTTCACTGAACAAAGAGGGAGTGATTGAAGACATCAGACGGAGACGCTACTATGAGAAACCCTTTCAGAAGCGGAAGCGGACGCAGTATGAGACGATGCAGCGTATCTACAACCAGGAGATGAATCGAAGGATAGCATTCCTCATGCGCAAGAACAGGACACCAGGCTGGCCTGTGTAATAGCATGGCACCTGTAGCCCATGTGGATCAAACTGTGTGCTGAGTGAAGTAGCGACTGCATATTCCTGTGTTACCTGCATACTCCTCAGTGAGATTGTGAAAATTCACTTGGACGGATAAACTTTGGTACAACTTGCAACGTGTGCCGATTAGAAAATAAGATGTGCTTAATACATGCAGCCTTAGCAGTTAGCAGGACATCAAGGCCAAGCATGTTGGCAGTGTTACGTACACTACTCTGCCACCCTTGGCTCTTGAACAAGAAACTTTGAACAATATAGGACACAGAAAGTTTTGACTAGAAATTTACTGTCAAAACTTGTATTCAAGTGCTCTATAATTTTAGGAGATGCTTATCACAATCGTAAACGTTACTTTTATTACACCCAAACTTTGGGTGTAAATTAACAAATACATGTAAATTAACAAATAAATTAGTTTTGAAAGAAATGCACAAGTAGTGATCCCCTGTTGGTTGCTGATTTTGACTTAGCCACTCTACTGCACTACACTTTACGAGGTAAATGAGCAATAAACCTGAAGACAAGTTATTATACAATGGAACGTGGTTTGGGGGGAAGTAATACACAACAACTGGTGCTGATGTGTTGGCTGATTTGACTACCTCCCAACACGAAGCGGAGGGAGGAAGCCAACAGCTGCAAACACAGGGTCAAGTAAATTTGCATTTCTTCCCTGAAATATTAAAACTATTGTGTATTTGTTTTATTACACCTCGATCGAACAATTTTAATTTCATTAACAACAGTGTTCGTATGTTACTACTTTCTGTTACTATGGACCAGGTGGGCGGGCTATTTATGTAAGCGCCTCATGCATGTGCATGTGTGGAGTAGCTATTTGTAATTCCCAGATGCTTGGAACATTGACCAATTAAAGAAGCGTGTTTGGCTTATAAATATGTACGAGGTGTAACAATTCAAATTACTGACTTGGTTGGATATGCTAATAGCCTCCAGAGGCACTCCTTTCCTTACCTGTAGTCTTGGCCCAAGACTGCAATTGGATTGTATTCAGCTGGTCCCTAACAAGTGTGGTAAAGCCATCGTGGCAGTAGGTCGCTATCAACAAGATGAATTACATTCAGTCTTGGCAAATTTGGCAGTGCTATCAAGGAAATACTGAGCATACCCCACGCACTTGCATTACCTTGAATACAGCACACATGAGGTATACTCGGAATTTTCTGGGTATTGCTGTCGAAGTTCCCAAGATATCCCTCTTGTTGATAGCAACCTCTATCGCCGCAGCTTTATCTAGCTTGTCAAGGACCCGCTTCATTTGGGGAATACATTCTGAATCCAACCTTGGACCAAGACTGGCTCATCTGAGGCTTGCAAGTCTTACCTGCTCATCTGAGGCTTGCAAGTCTTACCTGCTCATCTGAGGCTTGCAAGTCTTCCCTGCTCATATGAGGCTTGCAAGTCTTACCTGCTCATCTGAGGCTTGCAAGTCTTCCCTGCTCATATGAGGCTTGCAAGTCTTACCTGCTCATCTGAGGCTTGCAAGTCTTCCCTGCTCATCTGAGGCTTGCAAGTGTACCCTGCTCATCTGAAGCTTGCAAGTCTTACCTGCTCATCTGAGGCTTGCAAGTGTACCCTGCTCATATGAGGCTTGCAAGTCTTACCTGCTCATCTGAGGCTTGCAAGTCTTCCCTGCTCATCTGAGGCTTGCAAGTGTACCCTGCTCATCTGAGGCTTGCAAGTCTTCCCTGCTCATCTGAGGCTTGCAAGTGTACCCTGCTCATATGAGGCTTGCAAGTCTTACCTGCTCATCTGAGGCTTGCAAGTCTTCCCTGCTCATCTGAGGCTTGCAAGTCTTCCCTGCTCATCTGAGGCTTGCAAGTCTACCCTGCTCATCTGAGGCTTGCAAGTCTTCCCTGCTCATCTGAGGCTTGCAAGTCTTCCCTGCTCATATGAGGCTTGCAAGTCTACCCTGCTCATCTGAGGCTTGCAAGTCATACCTGCTCATCTGAGGCTTGCAAGTCTTCCCTGCTCATATGAGGCTTGCAAGTCTTCCCTGCTCATCTGAGGCTTGCAAGTCTTCCCTGCTCATCTGAGGCTTGCAAGTCATACCTGCTCATCTGATGCTTGCAAGTCTTACCTGCTCATCTGAGGCTTGTAAGTCTACCCTGCTCATCTGAGGCTTGCAAGTCTTCCCTGCTCATCTGAGGCTTGCAAGTCTACCCTGCTCATCTGAGGCTTGCAAGTCTTCCCTGCTCATCTGAGGCTTGCAAGTCTTACCTGCTCATCTGAGGCTTGCAAGTCTTCCCTGCTCATATGAGGCTTGCAAGTCTACCCTGCTCATCTGAGGCTTGCAAGTCTTACCTGCTCATCTGAGGCTTGTAAGTCTTCCCTGCTCATCTGAGGCTTGCAAGTCCTACCTGCCCATCTGAGGCTTGCAAGTCTTCCCTGCTCATCTGAGGCTTGCAAGTCTTCCCTGCTCATCTGAGGCTTGCAAGTCTACCCTGCTCATCTGAGGCTTGCAAGTCTACCCTGCTCATCTGAGGCTTGCAAGTCTTACCTGCTCATATGAGGCTTGCAAGTCTACCCTGCTCATCTGAGGCTTGCAAGTCTACCCTGCTCATCTGAGGCTTGCAAGTCTTCCCTGCTCATCTGAAGCTTGCAAGTCTTCCCTGCTCATCTGAAGCTTGCAAGTCTTCCCTGCTCATCTGAGGCTTGCAAGTCCTACCTGCCCATCTGAGGCTTGCAAGTCTTCCCTGCTCATCTGAGGCTTGCAAGTCTACCCTGCTCATCTGAGGCTTGCAAGTCTTCCCTGCTCATCTGAGGCTTGCAAGTCTACCCTGCTCATCTGAGGCTTGCAAGTCTTCCCTGCTCATCTGAGGCTTGCAAGTCTTCCCTGCTCATCTGAAGCTTGCAAGTCTTCCCTGCTCATCTGAGGCTTGCAAGTCTACCCTGCTCATCTGAGGCTTGCAAGTCTTACCTGCTCATCTGAGGCTTGCAAGTCTTACCTGCATGTCTTGGAGCACACAACAAACAATCATTAGAAGACTATATGGTAGATGTTGGAGGTCTGTGCAGTGACTTGGGCTAACTCAAAATGTCAAATATTTGGGAAGTTTGAAAAATATATTGAACCAATGGTCGTCCCGGGTTTCATATTACTTAATAAAATAAAAGTAGCAAATATTCAATGATATCCTTGGTCATTTTGTATTTGGTACTGTTATTTCCAGTCACTAATCACTTTCTCATCCAAAGAAGACGACCCCTTTACCATACATCTTTAATTTCCCAATTCCATGGCTCTCGGAACTTATTAATGTAGAAGAATGCGAGTGTATAACTTTTATTCACGAGCTCGGCGGACGGATTTTGGGCCTATTTACTGGGTTGCACCCTTTAGAAATTGTGACCAGAAAAAGGTGTTTTTAGTCGTCGGTTTGACCTCTCCACCCATCTATTCCAGCCCAGACAGTACAGAGGTGCTATACTGCAATTCGTGCTCTTACAAGCTAAGCTCGTTTAGGGAAAGATCGGACAGTCCGCTAAAAAAAGTGAAACAGGTACTGGCTCTGACTGGGGTAATGATGGGGAAGGGCGCCCCTTGCGTTGGGTAGGCAAAAAGTAGGTTTGCTCCATGCACTAAACGTGATAAGTTAGTTATGTAAAGCCGCTAAACTTTTTAAGGCCCAAACAAAAATAGTCTCCGGTTTCTGGTATGGAGTTTGCCCCAAAAGTTGTCCGGCGACGCGGGTTTTTTTTTTCCTCCTTTTTTTTTGCTTCAAATGTTGGCTGATGTTGCAGATGACGCTTCGATCCCTTAACCCTAAAGGGGCCGGGTTATTTTGACCATCTCTCAGCCGGGGGGGGCGGATTCCGCCCCCCCCCCCCCCCCTAAGATCTCGGCCATCGAGTGTCGAAAAATTTTGAAACTCAACACATGCATAGAGCAACTCTTCCTAAACATACCCAAGAAATTTCATGACTATAGGTCAAAGGGTTTTGGAATTATGGCTAATTAATTAATCATATGTCACTGTATGTACGAATGGCAATTCTGCTCTGTGTACACGACGTATATGCAAAAATTCAGTTTTCCCGGCGCGTAGCGCCGGAAAATTTTTCGCTACGCGGCAACCCATGGTCCGATTTTTATGTTTTTGGTATCAAAAGATGCGCAAAGCTCGAGGCTAAAAAGTCAGAACAGCTCGGGTCGTGAAAAAAATTTTTTTAGAGGCTATCACGGAAAATGTTGAGGGGGGGGGCGGATTCCGCCCCCCCCCGGCCTTTTTAGGGTTAAAAGTCTCAAAAATATCCTTCAGAGTGGAGCTTGAGGTGACCTCAGTAAGGCCATAATTAAGGCTTGAGAATTCTGCACCCACTTAAGATCTAGACCGACACGAACATTCTTCGGGAAATGTGGATAGTCAAGACAAAAATCAGAGAAAACGGTAGTAACGTTAGGCCGTATGACTCTTGACATAGGAGGAAATAGGACGAGGAAAGTGATTTGATCGAGCTTGTTGATGAAGCTGTAGGAAGACTGTGGAGGCGCGGATCCAGGGAGGGGGAGGTTTGGGGGGAATTTTTTTTTCTTAGAAATTCATTTAAAATGCGAAAACTCTCCCCTGCTCTGACACCCAAAAAAATGTACTGTTAATAATGTCCGCCTGTGGACAAAATACGGACTGAGCCAGCTTGCTGAGTGGGTATTTGTACACTCTTCTTTAATATAGTGTTAATAATCGTTGGATTTGAACAGCGCCCCCATTGAAAGTATGGCCCTCCCCCCCCCCCCCCCCCCCCTTCAGTCTGTGTCTTCAAGAAGTGGTTATAGCACTGAAGGCAAATGATACATATTTTTGTTCAATTCAAGAATTTTTTTTTTTTACGTCACTGACCATGAGAGATGAGCTTGAGAAATTTGCATCAGCATACTTCAATAATACCAGGTGAAAGTGTGCCAACGACAAATGGGTTATATAATAAAGACGGCCATCCTTGATCTGGATAAATGTGTTCCCACACGCATGACTTTCTGCCCATTCAACTGACTGTGATAATCACGTGATTCAGCGCAGGTCCAAGGGAGGTGGAAAGAAAGAACGTAGATTTGTTGTGGCAAGATACGAACTTTGGCATTAATTTGAAGGTTGGAGTTAGAATGTGAGTGACAGTTTGTGACTAATTTGCGCACCGGTCTGCTTCCAAAGTGATGATTTCAGCAGATGCCTGCAGTTTAATCTATAGGTGATGATGTGGGTGGACATGATTAAATTTTGAAATACTGCAGTTGACTTTGTATAGATGTATTTGTAGACCTATAGACCTGTTGTGTCCAATAAATGCGCGAGCTTGTTTGTTTTGTTTTTCCATGGCCTTCGGCTCGGCCATTATCCGCGTGCAGGCCCGGAGGCTCCTTCAAGTACCTTTACCTAGACGTCGTCCATCCACCGCAGGATGTAGCCCTCTGTCAGACCCCTCCAGGTTGTTCTTTTCTTTGCTGTCCTTGTCCATGTCCCTCAAACCAACTTTGATATGTCATCTCTCCATCTTTATGTGGTCTGCCTCTAGATCTTTTTCCTGTTCTGCAGGTTGTCATTCTGTTTTTTCTTATTGTCCATCTGTTGTCTGTCATCCGGGCTACATGTCCTGCCCATGTCCATTTCATTGTGTTGACATATTTGGCGATGTCTTTTACTTCGTTTTTTCCCCTGATTATCCGGTCTTGTAGTGTAATTCCTAGCATCTTTCTTTCCATTGCTCTCAGAGTGGTAGACAATTTATTGTAGATTTGCTTGTTAACTGTCCATGTTTGGCATCCATATGTAATTGTTGGAAGTATGCATTGGTCGAATACTCTCTTCTTCAATGGTACTGGTAGTTTTCTGTCACAAAAGATTTCTTTGTATCTTCCGAATAGACCCCATCCTGTCTTGATT